TCCAGATTCTCTTCTATCTCTCTCTCTCCCTTTGTGTGTGTGCGTGCGTGCGTGGTGCGCGCGTGCGTGCGTGGGCGTGTGTGTGTGTGCATGTGTGTTGTGTGTGTGTGTGTGTGTGTGTGTTTGTGTGGTGTGTGTGTGTGTGTGTGTGTGTGTTGTGTGGTGTGTGTGTGTGCATGCGTTTTGTTGTCTGTCTGTCTGTCTCTCTCTCTTTCTCTGTCTATCTCTCTCTCTACACACGCACGCACGCGAGCACGCACGCACGCACACACACATATATAAATATAAATAAATAAATATGTGTGCATATGTGACATTCAGTGATTATCACAAAAGGCGTATTATCCAAATTTTCTACTTTGAATCATACAGCGTTGAACACATTTTTTCTGTAATAATTCCCTTAGAATCAGGTGTGTGACTCAAACATCTGATAAATTAACCAGAAACGAGCACACGTTCAGAATAACATATATAGTAATATAACAAAATCAATCTTTTCTAAGTAAATGATTTTTTTGCTAATTTTCTATTACAGAGATGATGAAGCGGTCATAATGGCAGATCAAAAATTTCTCCTATATATATATATATATGGGTCATTGCTGACTAAGCTACTGGAGCAATGCCCATCATGTCAATTCAAGTGCTCACTTGTTGTGAGATATGCTGAGACCAACAGTAGAATATGAAATAGCCAGCCGAGGAGCAACGACATGCCGATAGGAAATTTACAGTTAGCAGCAGCCATATTTTTTAATGGGTGCAGTGCAGCGAAAACTGTCCGTATGCTGACATCTGTTGGTATTTGCTGCATTTCTGTAAATACGTACTTTCGATTGCAAAAGGCGTACATAATACCAGCTGTGACGAATGTTTGGCATAAAATGCAACAGACACTACTCTCCAAAGTGGCAGAGGACGGATGTTACGGCCGAAATTGTGACTGTAGTGGTGCTGCCCACTCAACAGTGTAGTTTTTTGAAAGACGCGTAAGCGAGTGGCTTACGAGGGCATGGCGTTAAGCACTTCCCAGAAGCCAGTCAGGCAGGTTACAGCGCGACAACGCGAATCACATATCAGTGTGCACGACATGTTTCCTTTATTAAGACAACAATTTCCATAGACACCCAGACATCTCAGCGATGTAAGGGCCCAAGGATAGAGAACATGGGTCCAATAAAACCAATGTCGCCTAACCCTAACGCCTAACCCTAATTCTAACCCTATTCTAATCCCTATAACCCTTTTATCCCTATCCAATCCCTATCCTAACCCTAACCCTAACCATAACGCCTAACCTATTATAGTTTGATATAAATTATATTGATATTGATGTAAATGACATTTAGTTTGTTGGTTTTATTGGGACCCATGTTCTCTATCCTTGAACCGATGTAAGTAACACATATAATAGTTAATACTTTAGTTTGTGGTAAATTATTATAACGGTTTCCTTGCTACGCATGTAACACTCGTTGTAGCGCAATGTTTAACGCTTGGCGTATTTTTCTTTGTAATTTCAGTTAAAACCACACAACCACAGCCATGTACAGTAGCGAATACTGAGCAAATGTAAATAAGACTATGTGTGCGTATTTCTCGCTGAAATAATTTTTTTAATCGACACCTAACGGCAGACAACGTAGCCGGACGGTTACAACGGACGTGCTGTGATAGTCGGTGATGATGGACGTATGCCAAGTATGGCAGCTATATAGTTCCATCATGGATATAGAGAAGAATAAACTTCTCGATACTCAGCTAGTGCAAGTATTACACAATAAATAGAGGTTAACAATTTTTTTTACCCTATTTCCAACCAGCCTGTCAGTGGACATGTTATACTGTGTATGTGAGTCTGCCAGTATGCTAGATCCTGATTGCACCAATAATGTACATATATATACAAAAACTATGTAACATACTATCACTGTATCTAACAGGACATTACAAATGTCAGATCATGTATGTATTTATCACATTTTCAGTGCGTGTAAGTGCTTAAAATTTGTTTCCAGTCGAACGAAGTTGCAAATTCAAATGCGATGGAGTTGGAGGGCTTGAAAAGAGTGCTAACGACCCTGAATGACAACGACATAGCTGTAGCAAGCATCATTACGGACCGGCACGTGCAAATTCGGAAATTCCTCAGGGAGAAGCACCCGGAAATTCACCATTGGTTTGATGTTTGGCATCTGTCAAAGGGTAAGCTTAGATATTGTTAGCTCAAAAATCGCCCGATTTCTTATATAACTGTGCACACCAGTATATGTGTAAAACATGTTACATTATGCATTATGTAATTTCACATCTAATGTAATCTGTGGGGATAATAGCGACTCACGCCTCTACCTGTTTGTAAGACCAAGCAGCATGTTTGACATTTATGATCTTGTTTTTTAGGAGTGAAAAAGAAAATTGACCTGTTATCGAAGCGGAAAGATTGCGAAGTTCTCGCCGAGTGGTCTCGAGCCATCAGCAACCACCTATACTGGTGTGTTGCTAGTAGTTCCGGAGATGGGGACATGGTGGAGGCAAAGTGGAGAAGTATCATGCGGCACATTGTGGATATACACAAAGATCACGCGGAAATTTTCCCGGAGTGTCTGCATGGACCAATAGAGCCACGAAAATGGTTGAGACAAGGTTTGTGCAGTAAATATAGTGGTTCCAGTAGCTTGCCTTCCTTGCGATATCACAAACATTTGTGGTAAACAATCTATCTTGTAATATCATAAACATTTAGTTTTTCTTACCCATACATCATGCACCATGCCATACTTATACTATTTCTAATCATGTCTTTGTTGTACTATCCCAAACATGAACAACAGAATGCACGCGCAGAAACAATTTGCACGACATGCGAATGCCGTTGGGTTAAACGTACCCCGGTTCGAATTCCAGAAAACGATTAGAAAATTAATACAGAGAGAATGCGCTACTATTCTGGTAAAAAATACTATAATATGTTGTTACAACTTGTGTGTAAATGACGTAGAGATGATGTTGAGCACGCAAAAGAGAGCGTGGTGGCCAAGCAGGTGGTGCACATCGCAAATTTTGACCTTACTACTTCGTTGGGGCGGCACTGCCGGCCTCATTTCCATTCATACCCTAAGGTATATATAGCGATTGGGATATCGTTACCTCGGCGACATAGCGCCTAAAGTAAATGTTCTAAGGCCGATGTTACGCATTTAAAACAAAGCGTGGATGCCGGACAGTTTGTGCGCATTACAAATCCTTTCAATTCGATTGTGAATTGTGATTCAGAATGTTCACTTTGGTCGCAGCATCCCGCAGTAACTTTCCCTTTGCTAATATACATGAACTGCCGCTCGCGTCGCTTGTCGGCGTCGCGAGCCAAGAAAAATACATTCGGCCGATCTTGGGCATTCAATCGACGGCACATTGTGTGCATTGTAAAATCGCCATCTACAAGATTCACTTGCTCGCAGCATCGCGCTCCGGGTTCCGCGTATGCTAATTTCTACATGAAGATGGCGCTCGCGCGTTGGTCACCCACCGTTTACTGCCAAGATAATTATTTTCTTCGGCCGTTCTCATACGTTCAAACTGGTTGCGAGCAGGCCGAACCGGAAACCGGACCCTATCATATAATAATATCTAATATATTCTTTATTAAATAAATATATGCTGAGATACTGAGGTGACTGAAGAAAACTGCATAATATAACTTGCTGAGAGAGAAAGAGAGAGAGACAGACATAGAGAGAAAGACAGAGAGGAGAGAGAGAGAGAGAGAGAGAGAGAGAGAGAGAGAGAGAGAGGAGAGTGGGAGACTGTGAAAAGGGCGGTAGGGATGATAGCTGAGCGGCCGTAAAAGAAGAAGGAGGTTGAAGTGAGGGACAATGGGGGCAAAGGGGAAGGACGGGAGGGAATGAAGTAGAATGTTTTGCACACTATACATGCTAGGGCGCGCTCCGCTAATTATAAATACAGGTCTACTGATAATGATATATTACATAAATCCTATGCTGAGATACCCACTTATGGTGCCCTCACACCATAGCGTATGCTGAAACCTATGAGTTGCGTGTAAAAAATATTTTTATACTCACCAAACGCAACCCAAATTAAGAATTTTGTCAATTTCTAACCTATTCAATCTATGGCGTTGCGTGTGAGTTGCAGGAGGGTTGCGTGTTGGTTGCGTGTGGGTTGCGTGTGGTTGCGAACTGAACTTATGATCCCAAAAATCTGCCATCACCTGCGAACGAGTTGCGTGCGAGTTGCGTTTGAGTTGCGTTAAAAAGCTTACCAAGTTGCATTGGACCTGCGTGCTATTTGCGTGCTAGTTGCGAATATGCTAATCCATGTCTAACCCACACTCTTCTTCTTCTTCTTCTTCTTCTTCTTCTTCTTCTTCTCTGTCCTTCTTCTTCTTCTTCTCCCCCTTCTGTTTATTCTATTTCTGCTATCGTGTTGGAAGTGCTAAATGACCAGAAGTAAACTGATGTTCAATAACAGCAAGAGGTAGCTCCATGTATGTCACCTCGGAGGTGCACCAACAACTGACCACGCGATCTAGAAAAGGCCTACTATTTATACCATTTCTCACACGTATGTAGTACGCAACTAACACCAACTCACACGCAACTGATAGTTGATACGCAGGGCATAGGTTGGGGATACGCTGGGAATACGCACAATAGGATGGAGGTACGCTACACACTCAACACAGATCGCAACAGGCACGCAACACAAGTCGCAAAATGATCGCAACAGGTACGCAACACATTCGCAACATGTACGCTACCGAAACCTGGCCAGATACCTCAAATTTGGGACCTGCGATCACCTGCGTTCATAACTTATGATTACGACCTGTTGGCGATCGTGTTGCGATCGTGTTCCGTGCGTAGCGTACCTGTTGCGTCCCTGTTGGCGTAGAATTGATCGCAGGCATTCGCAGAGAATTATTGAACATATCAAAATTTCTGAACATACTCTGCGTGTGTCTGCGATCACCTACGTGCTTTGTTGCGCGTACTTAAAACCTATGAACCCTATTAGTTGCGTGTGAGCTGCGTTCGGAACTTAAGGCCCCCGTCCACACAATAAGCGTATGCTGAAACCTATGAGTTGCGTGTAAAAAATATTTTTATTACGCACCAAACGCAACCAAATCAACAATTTTGTCAATTTCTAAGCCTATTCAACTTATGGGTTGCCTGTGAGTTTGCGTGTGGGTTGCGTGTGGGTTGCGTATGGGTTGCGTGTGAGTTGCGATCATGAACTTATGATCTCCTAATATGCTGCGATCACCTGCGTACGAGTTGCGTGCGAGTTGCGTGTGAGTTGCGCTGGCAGAAGCTTACGAGATTGCGTTTGAGTTGCGTTCAAAAGCTTACAAGTTGCGTTGGACCTGCGTGCTAGTTGCGTGTTAATTGCGGATATCCGGTCAGCTGGTAAAACATGTAATAAAAAAACCTGTAATAAACGGTAAAACTGCATGTCGGAGTACTTGGTACCCGAGGCCAGGTGCGCAGCAAGTGGACTGCCAGCTTCAGCCAGGGTTCAGGGGCAACCTGTACTTGGTGTGTTTGCTTGTGATGCGAGGACCAACTCTCCGTAGCAGCTCATGCGTACATCTCGGGGGGCATCCTCATGAAGTTCTTGAATGCACCTTGGTCCTCGTTCCGGAGGCTCCACAGAAGCTGGTGCGTAGAGACCAAAGTCAAGGCGCCTGCTAATCTATGTCTAACCCACACTCTTCTTCCTTCTTCTTCTTCTTCTTCTTCTTCTTCTCTTCTTCTTCTTCTTCTCCCCCTTCTGTTTATTCTTTCTGTATGTGTTGGTGTGCTAAATTTTGACCAAGATTAAACTGATATCCAATAAGCAGCAAGAGGTACGCTACATGTTGTCACCTCGGAGGTCCACCAACACTCTGCACACCCGATCTAGAAAAGGCCAACTATTTATACCATTTCTCAACACGCATGTAGTACGCAACTAACATGCAACTCACACGCAACTAATAGGTTGGGGATACGCTGGCAATACGCAACAATAGGTTGGGGTACGCTACACACGCAACAGGATCGCAACAGCACGCAACACGATCGCAACATGATCGCAACAGGTACGCAACACATTCGCAAACATGTACGCTACCAAAACCGGCCAGATACCTCAAATTTGGACCTGCGATCACCTGCGTTCATTAACTTATGAGTTGCGTACCTGTTGCGATCGTGTTGCGATCGTGTTGCGATCGTGTTGCCGATCGTGTTCCGTGCGTAGCGTACGCTGTTTGCGTCCCTGGTGCGTATAAATTGATCGCAGGCATTCGCAGAGAATTTTTGAACAGTTCAAATTTCTGAACTTACTCTGCGTGTGTCCTGCGCGATCACCTGCCGTCTTGTTTGCGTACTTCAAACTATAAAACCTATTAGTTGCGTGTGAGTTGCGTTCGTTAACTTATGCTCACTATTTTTATTTTCGCACCATACGCAACTGGTAATCGCCTATGGTGTGACGGCACCTTTATGACCACCTATTTTTTATTCGCAACCATACGCAACTGGTGATCGCTATGGTGTGAGGGCACCATAACCATAAATAAATAGTCATCACAAATATAACTCCTCCGGTGAGATATTGCGCATGCGCTAACAACCCGAACGTAGCCAGATGCGTGTACTGCTGGTATATGCAGCGGTGACCCTTACATGCAAGATTATCTTCCTATTGCACGGTCTGCTTCCTATTGCAAGGTCCTTCTTCCTATGTGCAAGGTATTCTTCTTATTGTCAGGTCTACTGATGAAATTGTTATCATATAAATCTATGCAGGGATAACTCCTAATTATTGCATAATATAAATTTTATCGAGAGATATTGCGCATGCGCGAACACCGTTATTAAACCACCGATTTGCACTTTCTCCCACGCTCTCTCTCCCTCTTTCTCTTTCCCCCTATTTTTCTTACTCCCACTCTCTTGCTTTCTCGCGCGCTCTCTCTCTCTTTCTTTCTCTCTCGTTCTCTCCTCGCTCTAGTGAAATGAGCAATTTCAACAAATTAATAATAAATGTTAATGACGTACGCGCTCAATACGCTGCGCATTCACACACCACGCACACGCGCACGAGCACGCAGCGCACGCACGCAGCGCACGCACGCACGCACACACTCACGCACAGGCACGCACAGCACGCACTGCACGGCACGCACGCACACGCACACACACACACACACACCACAACACACACCACACACACACACAACACACACACACACATATATATATATATATGTATGTATATATATATATGGCGGACTATCTTACCGTGCGTGCAAAAAATACATGTTTGCCCAAAAATATAGTAGCATATTAGCTATTGCTTGCTTGCATCGTTGAATTTGCCTGATACTAATGAGCTGTTAAATGCCCGAGAGATGGCGCTACCAGTCCGAATAACGCCAGTTCGGCTGTTAGGCCGCAAAAGTCACATTCCAAGGTTACAGTGGCGATTGTCGTGGATGGGGCGGGTGGGTGGTTTACCTGGGGATGGGGTTGTGTAGTTACGGGTAGTGCGATGGAGGTTGTGGGGGTGGAGATACTTGAGAGGGCTTACCATGACCGGGAAATATATGATAGCATCAAAGACAGCAGCTGAACGCTACCCGGGTCGCGAAATTTTTTTTCTCACGAGAGTTGCGGACCCACCACAGATAGTGTTTTGTAATATATTATGGTGCGTATATAAGACAAACCTGGTTGGATTATAGTTAGTGTTAGGGTTCGGGTTAGCGTTAGGGTTAGGCTCAGAGTGTATAAATTTTACATT